GGGAGATTCAGTGCGTGCTGACCGTCCGCCGAGTGAACTTCGAAGGAGCCGCACACAAGTGGTGCAGTCGGTGATTCTATTTTTTGTTTTGTAAGTCTGTTTTTTCTATAAAGGGAGAAGATGAAAGTGCCCGTTCAGCTGTGGATCCTGTTCCTCGTCGGCTGCCTGATGCTCGTACTCGCCGATGCAAGTAAGCATACATAATTTTACAACGCGACGTATATCCAAAAATTCCGACGGGGGGTTGCAACGAGTTTTGAATGATTGAAGGGCAGTGGCGGCACCCCAACCCAAAGTGCTCCTCGGGGTCGGGGATGAACGGGCGCTACAAGCGTTGGGTCTCGAGGAATCAGGACAGAAGTGCCAATGGCTACAAGTGGGTGTACAACGAGAGCACGGCGAGGTGCACGAAGATCTACGCGAATTCAAAGAGCATGGCTCACTTCAAATCGGAGGACGAGTGCAACAGCGCCTGCAAAGATAGTTAGTATATTTATATAATTGTACACAACGCATCCTGCGTTTTTTCACTTTTGCCTGTTGTGTTTGTCTCCGACACATGAAAGTCTCTTATATCTTTAACTCGCAACTGGGCTCACGTTACTTTAATCGATGTGGTCTGTATATAATTATACGTTGCGTCAACGACCTCGCCAAGGCTACTTTCATGTGCATATCATGTTTCGATACCCTGAACACGAACTTTTTTTGTTTATTTTTTTTCTTCTTTTTATTGGAAGTTAGAAAAATACACAGATGAATCGTTGCTGACCATTTTAATCAACAGCCGTATTGGGTATGGAATTTCGTTTAAAAAACAAATCGCCTGGGACGTACGAAAAAGATTTTTAGTAACTTTCATCGTAACGTACGTATACATCCTATGCGTAGAGATTGCGATAATCTGTACTTATCTTGTTGCAGTTTATCGTTTCCCATGAGAAAGATGAGCAGCTAGCCGTGCAGTCCCTCGAGTCGTCGCTCGTCATCGCGCCAACCACGACTCGTTAATTAACCCACGGAACACCAGCGAGGAGGGGACGAAAAGCAGCCAAGTTCAAGGGATCGATAGGGAGGGGGGGAAAGGAGGCAAGGCTAGAGAGCACTTTGGGCTATCAGTTTTCCCTCCCTCGCCCCATCATCCATCTCGGGAGCTTAACGAAGCCGCGATAGCCATCACAAACACGTATACACATCAGCGAGGAGGAAAGGGAGATTAAGCCAATCGGTGTGAGCTTTCGGCCGCGTTACATCGTATTATCATCATCGAGTCCACGACCCCGCAAAAACTAGTATACAGAGGAGAGGACAACACGAGATTGCGCACGGAAAAGCCGTGCCGCGTAGGCGTCGTTATATTTACGCCACATATATATATACACGAGGCAGCGCGGTTCATATACTTACATACATGTATTCTCACGCGCGAGATTGCTGAGGTAACCCGAGAACCGGTGCGGGACGTCTCCTCTTTCTCTCGCTATACCTATTTATAATACAACTCTCGCGGCTCGTCGAGCGCACAACATAAATATATATGCATATTTATAACCGTACGAAACGATAATTATATTCAATGAGTTTACAATTGGTGCAAATAAAACACATCGATAGCCTTTTTGGTGAATCGGCCCTCGGATTTATTTTCCTCCCCTGTCCCATCCGCTGATAAGCAAAATACCTAACCGGAGCAGCCACGAAAAATCACCAAGTTTGTGAAAAACAGTTGGCATTTGAATGTAGCAATGAGAGAAAAAGCATCGGACGAACCTTTGGAAGGGTAGAGAAAACCAGCAGCGCCGAGGACAGGAAGGTAAGTATCGCGGGGGGGAATCTCTCGGCGACCACCAGGAATGTTTGTCTCTTTCCCTCGCGGACCACCAGAGACCGGAGCCTCATGCCATTAGACACACACACACACGGAGAGAGACACTTGCGGAAGGCAAAGTCAACCGCGATGGAGTATACTCGGTTGGAGATCGTGATCGCACGGCCACGGTCCCGTTCCTCCTGTGTAACTATACGGCACTGCGATCGATCGATCGACCGATGCATCCACCGCACACGGGAGAGACACTTATTATATTATGTACCCCGCGATGTACCGATTGATTTATATACCGTGAAAAGTACGGTTGACGGTGCGCGTATCGCGCGTTTGGCTGGCGACCCAGCAAAGACTGAACTCCCTCGCCCACCTCGACGCAGCAGCTGCAGCTAGTCGGGCTTAGTCTCTCTCTCTCTTTCTTACTTTCGTCTTGGAAAAAGCTATAGAGAGGCGAGAAAACACGCAGCTCGGTCGCACGAAGGCCGAATCTCGACTATCGGTTGGCTCGCCTACTCTCCGAGGGACGAGAATAAACTCGAGTCGCCCCACCCCCCTCTCCTGCACCCGATATGTCGCTCATGCTCTATACCTTACATACTTACTTTACTTACTTCATTTACTTGTATGGAGCCTCTCAAGCCTAATTTCGAGTTTCCTCTTCTTACAGGGGGACCCCGGACCACGTCGCCACCCCACTCCCATGCGTCGTCGCTAACACCTACGCGATAGAAAATTTCCGCTGCCACGCATAAGTTAGTAAATATTTAGGGGTAAGGTATTTTCCAAGACGCGTCGATTCGCATCCCTCGATTTGTTTGCAATTAATTTACATACAAGTGGTGCCCCAATGCCCATCCGATTGCTTTTTGCAAGCCTCATTGTGTTTTGTTCAACATGGGCAAAGGTACCGTGTACAGAAGCCTTGTATATATACCTATTGATACTTTCACGGTACATCCAACCGAATGGATATCATTCGTACTTACGGTTCACGTACTAAAAGCTTTTTGATATTTCCCCCCTTTATCTCGAGCGAACGAGAAAATAACTGGCGAAAAATGGCCGGTAAAAATTTAATCGGGTCATTGGTTTTTATTGTAAATGGCCCGCAAACGAAACGACTTTAAATATAGCGCTTTTCGGAACACTGGTATATATATATATATATATACGTTTACATCTCTGTATTCGCTTTCGGACTTTTATGACGACTGTAGTCTGCACTTGGGGGCAATTTACGAGATGCAAAAATTAATAAGCAACGAAAGCTGCCTTACGAGAACTAACTCGGGGAGGACCGTAAAAGCGTGATTACGAGTACAAACGTATACAGGTATAATATAATGCATGTCGCAGTAAAGGAGAAGCAAAGGTGCACGTGGCATACGGGGATACGGGAGGGGGAAAAACCGCACGACAAAGATTGGAAAGAGAAACTCGTGTATAATATAAGGTAACGTATATAATCCCACCGCCGCGATCTTAATTTTAGATTCTCGGGGTATTCCTGCGGCCCCCGCGTTTGTTGTGGCACGCACGTCGCGGTCTCTTTTCACCACATGCCACCGATGCAGCGCCGAGGGAATAATTAATTTGTAAAAGCCGCTGCTCTCGCGCCTCAATCAAATCGGAGAAATGGACAAAATGGCACCGCGGGAGCTCCACCGATCGCACCAATTACAAACTTTCGTGTTTGATCTTAAAATGTCACTATATACCCCATATATCAAAGTGATTGGCCATCAAGAGTCAATTAAAAGATCAAATGCAGGTGAACCCTATATATGTAAATATTGCGTATATATATCCATAAAATAGGTACAGGGTTGTATACGCATTCTCGAGGTGTACTTTTCGAGTAACCCGAATACCTCGGGTGTTTACGTGTCCCGGTGACGTCGTTTCGCGTACACCGACACTCCCGACGTGTGCAGCGAGCAAGACGAGGGCGGAGAGGCAAAAGAGAAAGAGCGTCCCTGCAATTTGAAATTCCCGCCGCGGCTGGAGATATAAATCGCTGTGTGTGTTCACGTATACGCGCGGGGGAGTACCAAATAGCGGGCTTTGCTTAACTCTGCCACTAATAAATCCGCGCTCGTATACGAATCTCTTCGGGATTACCCTTTTTTGTTGTACCTACTTGTTTTGTTTATGTTTTTCGAGGTCAGCCGGAAGAATCGTAAATAAGATCAAAGTTATTGAGACTTTAATTAACCATGTCCATTTTGATTTCCGTGCATTCCCACCCGATTTTTTGTATAAAAAAATACGGAGACCTTCGAGATTGCAGCTATACTTACAATGATTCTTTAGTAACGTAGAAAAAACGCAGTGCGTGATAATTTTACTTCTAATGGAGTAAGTAAGTGTATATGGATGTAGGAAGCAACGACACAAAATAATCCAATTGAGGTAAGAGTCAAAGGGAGTAATTGCAGCTATATAGGGTCAAAGCTACAAAAAAAACAGTACAGTTAGCTGTATAGCATCAGTCAATTACAGGCCTTTTTTTTACCAGGAGAACCTGTTGGGGAATAACCGAGATCGAAGCTCGACTCCACCTCGCGGTCGCGCCCACTGTCCTCGATCGCGATGTTACGGATAAAAAAAAAAAACAAAAAAACTTTCGTGCTCCTCTAGTTACTTATTGATTTAATTTGATAAAAGCCACGACAACTTTTCGGGAGAAGCCCGTTGAAACCTTCCTATCTCACGTTGCGCCCGTAACAATATTTTCAATCCATCAAATAAAAAACTCGAGCGGCAACGCAAAAGTGGTCTCAAGGTCGAAAAAGTAGTGCTCAATTATCTCCCACGTAGGATCGCCATAAAACGCTATCGACCGATAGCTTTGGAAAAAAAAAAAAAAAAAAAAAGGTTCGGCTCCATTGAGACCACATTTGACACGTAATTCCGCATCGATAACAAATTGCTCGGCCATCATTATTGAGAAAACCCTCGATAAATCATCAACGATCCGATACATGTGCCGTAAACGTGATTCACGTACTCCGCAAATTTGTAGCAACAATTAACAACGTCAACCCTGTCGTCGGTGCCCAAACGCAAGTACAGCACATTTCAATGAGACCTTATAACCAAGTGGTTCTACACACCGACCAGGTATTGTAACGAAAAGTACAGGTACAGAGAGGTTGGGATGTTGACTTACCGTCGTCGCTGAGCTCGAGGTTCGTGTAGCTGTCCCAGTGTAGAACGGGGTCATGGTGGGCAGAGGCGTGGGGCACAGCCGGGGTGGGCGCGGGCGTCGGGCCATCCAGGCGCTTGGGGTCGCTGGCGAAGTACAGGGTGACCACACTGTCGGGCGGGCACCTCGGGTCCTCGCAGGCGACGTCGAGTTCCGAGCGGGGAAACGAGACGACGTTCTCGGTTATGACGCCCGTGTGAAACTAAACGGGGCAAAACAACAATTAAACAATTTGCGAGTCGCTAGCTCGGGGAGCGCTTACCTGGAGGGAGAACACGACCTCACGGCCCTGGTTCGAGTAGACCCTGTGGTAGCACTTGACCAAAATGTCCCCTCTCAACCTCAGCCCGCCCAAGTTGACCGCGAACTCGCGGGTGTTGGTCACCGAGTACAGATCCGACGTGTATATGGGGGTGAGGCCCTCGTAAACCTTGAAGAAGGCCCGGCAGCCGGTCGGCTCGAACATCGGCACGCCCAGGACCGTCAGGTGCGTGAGGTACAGGGGAGACTGGCTTATCAGCAGGGAGCTAGCCAGCAGACCGCTAAAGTACTCTATGTACCTGCACCGGCGACAAACACACGAAAAATAGTGCCATTATTAATCCGGAAACCCGAGAGCAAGTTGGGGTAAACATCATTACGAGAGTGAGGCGGATATAACGTATATATAGGGGGTGTAGTTGTTTATTGACCTTCTGTGGGAGGGGACGCCGAGCGGGCCGATTTTGTCGTCGAGGAATCGTCTCATGGCGAACCTGTCGAGGGCTTGGTCGCGGCTCCCGCAGATGCTGCTGTAGTTCATGTACGCCGATACGGCTACGCCCAGTCGTTCTTTACTGCCCCTAAAGTGGACAAATGAAAAAATAATGAAAATTACGTTGAAATCCCGGCAATGGATCATTATTTTCTTTACCGAGAGGTTCTCGAAAATGATAAAAATACTTTGAAATTGGAAAAAAAAAATGAAATGGTGTCGATAATAAGCACCTGGCATGTAGAACGACGACGCGGTTCGAGGCGGCATTCAGCCAGGAGTCCAGCTCCTTGCAGAGGGCACACAGCCTCTCCAGACTCGGTGCCAGCGCCTGGGGCCATCCCACCTCCCGCGTGTTTGGCTCGCTCGCTTGGCTCGACGACAGATTGAAGATCTACAAGATTGGCCGGGAATCATTGACCTACTCGCCACTAGCTAGGATATTCCATTCGCTCGACTTTTTTTTTTTTTTTTTTTTTTTTTTTTTTTTTTTTTTTTTTTTTTTTTTTTTNTTTTTTTGGCATCCGAACTTTACTTTAAATTACAGCCTTTTTCGGTTTATTCAATAAGTAGACTCGATATTTCTTTATCACAAAAAAAAATATACATAAAGTGATTTTTTTCATTTATGAGATTGATGTGCCGTTATTAAGTCTCTTGCGCGCTTGTTACATTCTTAAGGCAATTATTTTCAATTTTACAAAAATTTCACTCAACTTTTGGGATTTCGAAACAAGACAATATCAACATTCTTTTTTTTTTTTTTTTTTAACCTTGCGAAACTTCGAACAAAAAAAAAAAAATGTGTATCATGGTCGACAGAGGTATAGTCAGTGGAGGAAAAACAAAGCTTTAGCAAAAACACGCGTGAGAGCGAGTACAATAATCATGTAGGTATATTAGGTAACGACGATTACGAGTTGATTAAGAAAATATAGGTAAGACTAAGGATGACGACGAAGGTAATGATGACGATATACGAGCACCGCGGATGTATGAAACAAGAGTATATAAATATATAGTAGGGTATGCGTGTAATGTAGTAACCATGTAATTGTCGGCGTGTTTGCCCCTAAGCAGAGACGTCGCGTGCTCCAAGACCCCACGGGCGTCCTCCCTGTACCAGAGGGCTATTATCCTCTCGGTGACGTAGCACAGCTCCATCACCTCGCTGACGCGGCCGTTGCTGTAGCCGTTGCTGCTGTTGCTGCTGCTGCTGCTGCTACCTCCGCTGCTGGTGTTGCTGACGGCCCCCTTGAACGAGGAAACCACCGCCGTCGCGTCCGCGCCAACGCCCGGCGTCCTCTGGGGCTTTGCCGGTGGCGTGACCTGTGCCTGCGACACAACGACCAGAGCAAGGCCATTTTTACACTATGTAGGTATATACTTATGTCCTTGCTACGATACTCTACGAGTTCTTTTTCATATAGTTTAGGTTTTCCGTTGGGTAATACGAAATCAATGCTATTTCGTTAAAATACGCCTTCACCTTGCTCGTATTTGGGGCGGTAGTGTACGTCGGCTCGTAAACGATCCTCACGGTGTACGTTTGTTGTTGCGCCATATCGCGCGACCCTACACAATTTTTCACGATTTTTTGATATTATGCACCACACTAAGCACACAGGGATCCTCACTCATCGTCAATTTAATCTATGCGTTCAAACAGTATAGGTAGAGTTATAAAAATTTCTTTCGTGGCGAAGGATACTTGATCAATTGTTTCGGAAACCTTGCATGATGAAAAATAAAAAATCTGTTTGACGCAAGTATAGGTACGCGCGACGCCGAGTCCCAGACTGCTTGGGCGCTCTATTTCGTAAAGACGGCGCGTTTCTGCGCTTTACAATATCCCCAAGTTTGTGCTCTGCACGCACGAGACCATTAAATACATATAGGTATTGTTACTGCTACGTTGCCACTATATTTTTTTGCTCATTACGTAAAGGACGCGAATTTTCGCTGATACCGTTCAACAGGCAGGAGAGACTCGCGGCTATTGCGTAAATGTGGATGCATGTATACCTACACAACGATATGCTCGAGTTATCATGTGTAGGTGTTCCTACTTAACGATAATGTGCAAACAAGCGAACGAGTATCATATGATAGGTATATCGAGTTTTGTGGTTTTAGAAGTGCATTAGCGCCGGAGATTCTAATAATAAATACAACGTGATACGCGTGCTCTGTCTGCTGTGCGTATAATCCATATAATATGTCATGTTAATTAGAGGCGATGGGTATACACCAGAGCTCATGCGTGTAACTCGATGCGTTGTATTGGTGGGTCAAACCGAACAATAAAATATTGTTTATGTTTAATTATCCCCTCGTGAAAAACTCATCGTCGTGAAAGATTATGAACTCCGCAACTGTTATGCGGTTGCAGTTGACGTGAAACTCCACGCGCGACAAGCTTATCGTACAACAGCAGCGCGGGTCAACGTCTCGCGTACGAAATTTACTGCCACTATACTAATACGCGTGCCCGTGAGTTGCACAAGTGTATATAAAAACGTTCGAGGTCCGAGGGAGCTGAACGTATCGCGTGTCTTGACTCTTGGAGTGGGACTTGTTTCATCTCCAGTGACATTCACTGATTGGTGTTTATTGGCGGGCTTTTTAAATCAAGAACGCGACGGCAAACACATTCCTGCGCATATACGGCAGTTATAACGCCGTGGAGTAATCCAAACGGACGATGGGCTCAACGACGATAACGTCCGTTGTATAGCTAATACCGTTGTCAAGCGGAAGCTGCTTCATTGAGCCTCTCGCGTATAGCGTCAAAAAAAATTGCTACGAGGTTTGCCATCGACATTTTTCACCTGCTCAATACCACCTGACGTGTATTTCGTGACCATAAAAGATTATAAGTACACCCTACACTGTACGGTTTATCCTTACACGCGCGAAAAGAGTTTCTGCTTCTTTGTTTTGGACTGTACGAGTGCCCCGGACTTTTGCAAAATTTTACGACTCAACCCCGAAACGATCGTCTGCCGTGTACTTCTTCTTTCGCGTAGCGTACGAGTATACCTCCACGACACGGCCACCGCGGGCAAACTCCTCGAGTCGTAATTCTTTTTCTCCCTCGCGGTGTTTTGCTTCTCGGGAATGTATCGCGCTAAAACCACAAACGCAAGAAAGAAAGAACGAAAGGGATGCATCTGCGAAATTTTACCCAAGTGCACGACGCATTATATAGGTACATGTATATTTACGATTTGGTGTCGTAAACGCGAGTGGGCGAGCGAGAGAGCGCCGTTGTCGTAAATACAGGAGGGCGCCCGATTTTTCGTCGCTCGAGCGAACAGGTAATCGTTAACTTTTCAATTTGCAGCTGCCCGTCTCGGGTGTGACACGCTGCCGCGGAGGCGGACTGTAATGAAAATCGCCCGGGGCGTGTATGTTTTTTAACCGTAGATTCAGGTACGCGTAGCAACCGATCAAATCGGGGAAAAACGAATAAAAGCTCGGCTGGGATCGAACGGATCGGCGTGAATGAAATTAAACGAGTCGGCGGCGAAGAACAATGATAATAATAAACTCCCCCCCCCTCCCCGACTCTCGCGGATAAAACCCAGCGTTCTCGCACCTGTTTCGTAAAAATATACTCAAAAGCGCGTAGGTGGGTATGAAACACGTGTACCCACGCCGATCGACGCTCCGCGGAGGCGTTAGATTTCGTCGAGCCGATCATCCGAATGCCGAGATCCTTGCGGCGATTGCGACGGCAGAAACAACTTTCCGACTATCGGCGCTTATATGCTTGCTTACCCGGGATATAGATTGATGCGAATGGCAAGTAATCGCGATGAGCGCTTCTTTTCTAACTGAGCCGGAGATGCAAGTCGTCGAGCCCTTTTCGTCAGCCATATGTATATACAAGAGGAGACACTACTTGAAAATAATGCATTTGGGGCTTTCAACATCGAGATATATACATGACGCTACTATAACCCAGTGCTCGTTGAACTCGATGTGTATATTCGAAATTACGCGATTCAAATTACCTATAGTGATATCGTCTGATGCTTTCGAGCTTCAATATTTTGGTAAAAGTCTTTAATTTGTACTGTACTGTGCGTCGATAGTATGTATAGTAGGTACATGGCGCGTTGAAGGGGTAGTTATTAGCATTGTTGTACGTTGAATAAAGGGTGGAAAAAAATTTACACGAAAATCAGGAGGATAAACATTTTTGGGTATTGTTAATCATACCTGCTCATGTTGCTGTTGTTGTTGTTGTTGTTGTTGTTGCTGTAGCTGTTTGTTACGTACAGGCGTACTGGCGTTCCTCGGCTGTGTCTCGTAACCCCCATTGTGCTAAAACACATAGAAAAAAAAACATCTTATTACGATTGGTAATTTTTATAACAATCAAAGTACAGGTACGTGACGATTAAAGTAAAAATTGTTTTCCTGTAATTACGTCGGCAAAGCTACAGATCAAAGAATAAGTAGGTATACAAAACAGATCATTGTTATTTTAAGTATATAAAAAACGCCGTCGCTGCTGATTCCAACAAAAGTGACGCACCTCGCGTTCGATGTGAAGTGCCGCGTGCCAGATGGTAAATGCTATTCTGTGCAGCAGAGTCTCCGTGTCCACTTGCGAAATGACGAAATTTTTCGGGTTTTCCACGTTTCCGTTTCGAAAATCACTGTTCACGAGGCTACCGCTGCTCAAACGCTCGTTACGATAGGGGCTCTTTTTTCCACTCCACGAACGCGACGACGAACCCGTGTTTGAGTTTGTCATATTTCAAAAACCTTTTTTTTCCACATCGGGATACATAATATATGCACTTTCAATCCAAGCGTCCGTCATCTCCTTACTTATTGTTCTCTGTATTAGTTTTTCCAATTATTTATTTTTTTTTTTTTTTTTATCGTCGAAAGATATTTTCACGTCCAACAGTACCCACAGCTACTATTGAAAAACTAGTCACTATTTTTATCTCTCGTTTTTTTTCTTTTTACTTCCCATTGAGTAAAACTGGCTTGCAGTGAAACAGAACCGTAAAATATTCAATACTTTGTCACGCTGGTGCTCGAGAAAGAAAACACCGACCCAAAGACATAATACACAGAGAAAGGAGCTAAAGGGCACATCAGGACAAGAGGATGAGGAGCCGGTTATTTTCTTCTCCCGTGCACTTGAAACACTCGTAGAGCCAGGACCCTCGTGTTACTTCTCTACCGTTGCATAATCCGAGATTTTATATCATATATACACGTTATGTGGTACGTAGATTTTTAAAGGGAAGCAAAAAAAGAAAAAAAAAAAACATTAGACATGCACACATTTATATCCTGTCATTTTCAACTTTTCTTTCCTCCCCTACTGTGCCACGCACATCGATTGAAAACGCAAGGACCCGCGGGTGCCGCAGGACGTGAAAATAAAAAAAAAAAGTCCGACAAACATCACGCCCGGCAAACGATATGGCATACACGCGTAAATAAAAAAATGCGAACCGGCAAAAGGAGGGTGGGGGAGCACGCGCGCGCGTGCAATTTCACGCGTCGAGATTGTAGAGCGAGCACGGAAGCACGTACCTACATGCTATTTAAAAAACAAAAGCAACGAAAGCACGATACATAATATATATATATACCCCCCTAATATATACATATACGCACGAGCGAAACGTTTATCAGTTATACCTATACTCGTTGAGCTTATAAATAACTAACTCCCATTGAAATTGATTTAGCGCTCATTTATTCGACGGCCATCTACATTTACACACGTGACTCGTTAAGACTTTTACAATACACACCCAACACGCACTTTATATACCCATGTTGTACGTGTAACAATGATGATGATAATATAATAACCATGAAACATCACGTATAATTGCGTGCACGCGAATAAGTATATTATAATATGTTATATATACATATTCAAACGTGCCCGATCAATTCACGCTTTCTTTGTCGTCGCCGTTATACGTGCATATATATATATATATAGATATACACGCAACGTTGCTTGTGTAGCCGCAACATCGTGCGGACGTAACGTAACACGCAGCAATCTCCGACGCGACTTGCGGCCTGAGACGAAAAAAGAAAAAAAAAAAAAACGTCGAGCGACAGAGCGAGCAATGTGCAAGTACATTTTTCAAGTACAGCAGCCGGTCCAACTTTCAAGCCACATGCGTATGGGTACATGGACTGGCTACATCATCAGAACTGTTTTCCACCCCGACACGCGCGTTAATGTTATATACTCAAGGTGGCTCGGTAGGGCAACTGGTGCTTGGAAACGATAAACGGTGCTTCCTCGCACGTGTCAGCGATGCACTGTGGGGGCCCTACGATACACCTACACTACATAGATGATGCACCACGCGTGCGACAGGGATCACGAGGATTCACGCACCGGCGGGCGAGACGTTTACACGCGGGGCTATTGGGCCAAAGGACTGCGGGAGCCGCCCTGGCGCGCTGCGGATACTGCGGAGGGGCGACGGCGGTCCAGAGCCGTACGTACACCACCAACGGGGACTGTATATATATATACATCTGCGTATATTCGTGCACGGCGACGGCGCAGATGAGCCAGCGTCAACGGTATACCTTGGCGGCGCACCCCCGATCACGTACACACGTACACCATCGTGGTGCCATATTATGTACAATACGCGTCTCCACAGCCCTCGCTTCTCTGCATGGCACTCCTCGCTTCTTGTGCCAAGTGACGTTGGCATATCGACTACGTGTACCTACATGACTTTGGGCTTTTCGATTTCTTGCAGTTCACCCTCCGACGTGCCGGCCGCTGCCAAACGCATTTCTGCGGGGGGCGAATGCGCTCTTATCTGGACGGCGACAAAGTACTCCGGTTGAAGAGGGGCATAGAGCTTTTATTGGCACCTCGGATAGTCGGGTGAGGCCGTCGATTGGCCTGAATTTTTTACGAGCTCCGAAGATCAAAGTTTTTCGGGGATGTTTGGGTAAACCAATTGGAGGAGCGTGCATATTGATGCTCCGTGTCGTTTAAAAATTTATGGGTAAAGTGTTTGGTTTTCAATACGTGGTTTGTCGATCTTCTCGCATCGAAATAAAAGCATATACTTGTACACGAATTATCAAGTGAAATGAAAATAATAGCTCAATAGTCGCGGAATCGAGAAAAACACTTGACTTTGGTTTTATTCGTAATAAAAAAAACAACGTGTCATTAAATTATTATAGGTACTCTTAGTCGGAAGGAAAAAAATTGCAGAACTAACACGGTGATAATAGATCTTTGTAGGGTAAAAAAAAAGGTTCCCGCATGTATAATATTATTCAAGTGCTCGATTAGATGAATCAAAACGAGTTTTGCAACTGCGATTTGATCAGAAAAAATTATTTTTCCGCACTCGGGTGGTTTTGGGAGGCTGGTACTTCCTTGGGCGAAAAAGCAGTTTTCCGGAACTCGTTCGAAAAGTCTCCTTTACGAACCTCGTTACGTCCCTCGCCTTCGGCTCGGGCCGCAAACGTCTCGGTTCGCAAACAGAGACTTTTCAAACTCGTAGGAAAACTACTATATCCTTCGCAAGGTTCAGTTTTACTACCAGGTGCTATAATGACGTACGCACGTGCATACACGGACATAAAAACAAGTCATGGTCATCTCGATCCAGCCAAAAGGAATAAAACACAGGCGGCAAACAGTAGCTGTAACGTTCCTGCATTATGTTGATTAACAGGAACAGGGGTATATTCATAGGAAAAACGAGGCTAATTTTAACGATCACATGCAGCATCCCCAAGTCTTTCTGTTTATAGCTGAAAAATTCAACTTACACGTGACAAAGAGCTGGAATGTCTCCATCGATCTGTTTTCAAAGGGGCCCTATAGCAGGTATGTAGTATTATCTCAACGCGATGATCACAGCAGATCACGCGTGTAGGGAGAAGAGAAAAAAGACTGTCAAACAAGAGACGATTGTTGCACCTACAGTGGGGGCACATCGTTACGTTACATTGTACGCGGCAAGGACGTTCTGAAGAGCGTCGACGACAAAAGAAAAAAAAAATTTACGACGGTGGCATAATGTTATCGTTATTAAACGGAGATGACGCGATCGCTTGGGTGTAACGATTAACAGTATACAAGATGCAACCTCCCGCACGGCATAAGCGACCGTCTCACCCCCTTGTAGTCTATAATATAAGGTGCAGGTATGCCGGTACACACACACACACACACACACACACACATATATATATATAAACATACACGTGTGTAAGGAATTATGCGGCCTTGGTTGGGCCACTTATATAATTAATTATACATGACTGGCGCTCAATTTATCGCGAGTAGGTACGAAATTTCACACGGTTGTTTTTGTGACGTGTACTGTAGTAACCACGACTCGATGGTAAGTTTATCCATTCGTTATTTTTTTTTACTCATTTTTCGGTGGGTGCGAGGTGAATTTTTTAAAATATTTGTGTTAATACCCAAACGAAGTATACTGCTATGTTGCATAGAGCCAGCAGGTACATAAGTGTAAATATGTAAGTTAATTTGTGATGTAATTTTGCTCTCCGGAGGGACGCAAGGGAGGGTCGCAAAGTGCTTCATCGATTTAGCGATTAGTGCAGAGGAGCGGATAATGAGGCTGCGTAGATAAGCTATTTGGTATATATGGCGCTGGGGGTACAGGTTGTAAGTATATAGTATCAGGTACTCAAGGATATTACAATGTGAAAATTAGGTATTTTTCGTTTTTGTGGCAATGTTGTTTCTCTGCATGCATGACTATTATTAATTCACAAAAAATTTCAGACCATGACAATTCATTTAAAATATCATTGGACCGCGTTTGTATGAGCAATATAGCGTTTGTTGTCAACGTTTTCGTCAACATCTCAAATAACAGGCAGTAAATTTTACCGTTTCGGGGCTCAATCATTTCGAAATCGTACAAACTTTCAGACACCAGTTTTTTTGTGTCACTTTTCATCAAGATTGGTTTTTTAAACAGCTATTCTCTGATAATGATACAAACTTCGCTATGTCTGCTTTTTTGCATGAGAGTCCGTGCCGAAAAATCAATTTTCGATGCATTACTGTACAAAAAACCAGACGGACGAAAAGGTAAAAAAAAACAATTCCAGAACATGTCCCTGACATGTTTAGATATACCGAGGCAATATACATATTCCAGTTTGTAATCAAGTCGTACTAGTCAAAGAGACAATCCTCATTGAGTGATGAAAAGATGGAGAGATGAAAATAATAAAGTGACGACAAAAGCAAGGTAATGGTCAGAAATTCGGTAGCAGTCGATAAAAGTGTGATACACGAGTCACCAAAG